TTTTTTTTTTTTTTTTTACTTTTTTTGAAATTTTTACAATTCTTATGTCCAAATGCAACATCTTGGAAAGATCCTTTTCAATATAGAGGTATTGTCAAGAAGTAAAAACCCCACTTTATTTTTACTTTTGATACCTAAGATAGTGTCCGTTTGTGTGACTTTAGTCGCCACAAAATTTTGATTTAAACGATATAAGTTTTAAATCCAAAGTATTAATTAAACCCGTAATTATTTAATACAACTGTGAAAAGTCTTTCCCAAGTACAATCGATCCTGGTTCACAGATAACGAATGTAGAAGTAATTTTCTAGATGCTTGTAATTTCCATTTTAAAAAAAAAAAGCGAAAAAAAAAGTCACATAGTATTGAGTTGCAACTTCTAGGTGCTGAAGTTATGAATATTGTGAAATTTGAACGAACTTGTGTGTTGTCTAATTAAAAAGGAAAGAACTCAAAATTTTATATTGGTTTCCATTATTGACGTGAAAAAGAAACATAGTCAAAATAGTCCACCATGCCTCCAACATAAAGTTTGCTTGGCTGATGCTTCATCAGTCCCTTATGGCAAACCTTGGGGGTAGCCAAGATGGTAAAACCACTGAGGACAAAGTCCTCAAGGTCCCAGGTTCGAGCCTCCCCCAGGGTCACTGGAGGCATTGAAAAATGGTCGCGCATCCAGGGCCCTGTGGAATAGTCGGGCCCGCATGCGGGCACCGGACACCACAGTTAAAAAAAAAAATGTCCCTTATGGCAAACTTCAATGCTAAAAAAAATCAGCCTTGTTCACGGGGTCTGATAAAAAAATTTATGAGGACCACCATTCTAGATATTATCAGAATATTTTAAAGAACAAGTGTATACTTCTAAATATTCTCTGGACCACTATTAAACACTTTATGAGACAAATTAAAAGGAATAAACTTTGGGACCCCTATCTAATACTTTATGCTAGGGTTGTACACGGATCGGATCAGATCGGATTTAGCATATTTCAGATTCGAATTTCGGATTTCGGATTCTAGAAAATGTAATCCGAATCCGATCCGAATTATATCGG